GGTTGTTCTTTTGGTTCATCGGGCTGTTTTGCGTCTTCATTCTTTGGTTGTTGTTCTTTGGGCTCTTCATTCTTTGGTTGTTCTTTTGGTTCATCGGGTTGTTTTGCGTCTTCATTTTTTGGCTGTTGTTCTTTGGGCTCTTCATTCTTTGGTTGTTCTTTTGGTTCATCGGGCTGTTTTGCGTCTTCATTCTTTGGTTGTTGTTCTTTGGGCTCTTCATTCTTTGGCTGTTCTTTTGGTTCATCAGGTTGTTTTGCGTCTTCATTTTTTGGTTGTTCTTTGGGTTCTTCATTCTTTGGCTGTTCTTTTGGTTCATCGGGTTGTTTGGCGTCTTCATTCTTTGGTTGTTCTTTGGGTTCTTCATTCTTTGGTTGATCTTTTGGTTCATCGGGTTGTTTTGCCTCTTCATTCTTTTGTGGCTCTTCATTCTTTGGTTGTTCTTTTGGTTCATCGGGTTGTTTTGTCTCTTCATTCTTTGGTTGATTATTTGGCTCATTATTTTTCGGTTCCTCTGGCTCCTGTCGTTTCTGGATAGAAATTTCGCGTTCTTGTTGAATTGGCGATGTCAAACAAGTAGTGATCAGCACTGCGGCCAATATTAAAATCGCAAATAGATGCCATTTCTTGATTCGTGTTGGTGTCATTTGTTGAAATAATTTTTATTCCTGATATCTATGATCCCAAGGTTTCTATTTCAAGTGGTGGAATTATATTATTTTTTTTTTTTTAAAAAAAAAAAAAAGGAAAAAGAAAAGGTGGCTTTTAGAATTTCAAAAAAAAAAAATAAAATAAAATAAAATAAAATAAAAAAGAAAAAAAGGGAAAAAAAAAAAAAGTTTAGCGAAAATGCAGGATACCAACCGTATTTTATGCATTTTTGGTAATACAGCAAAAAAGTTATATATAAATCATTGAATTGTTTTTTTTAATTGGTGAAACAAACAATGATCCAAAAAAAAAATTAAATCTAAAACAAGATAATTAATATAATTCAACAAGTTTCTTCCTGTTATTAATAGATCAAAATTCCCTTTTTCGAAGTGGGCTGTATAGATTTTAGTTACCTTTTTAAGTTTTTTATTTTTTTGTGAAGGCTCAATTTTTTCAATTCTTCTCATGATCCCGGGGAGAATCATGATTATATGAATCATTGAAGGGGAAGTTTTTTTTTTTTCATATTTGGAAGTATGAATGATCGTAATGGTGTAATGGACCTTATTATTTATTGTATGTTTCAAAGGATTTGTAACGTGAATTCCTTTTTAAACGTAAATGCGATCGGAAAAATATTATTATCGAGGTTTTTTTTCCACCGCGATCGCCAGTTAAAAAAAATCGCCTTTTTTGGTATGAACATGGGCGTAAAATTTAGGCGGTTTTTATAAAATTTGGTCAACGTTAAAAGCATCGTTGTTTATTACATGCAACTAGATGGTATTATTATTGTTTACACAACGATTCTAAAACCAGGAGCATTTTATATATGCATAGTTTGTCAAACAATTTGGAAATGGAAACTTCCTTTTTTTCTTTCATGGAGACAAAGATAATAATGGTGACCTTTTTTTTTTTGATAACGTTGGGGATTAGAATAAAAAAATAAAAAAAAAATGAGAAAAAGAGGACAAATTTCTTGGCATTACAAATTTAGTCACTTAATGATGCAGTAGAACAACCCGTTGAGGAATAAGTATTAGCGAGTTACAATTTCTTTAATAGGAATAGCTCTAAATCCATTACATTATTTTGTAGAACAATTTGAATTTCAAAACAGTTTGGTAAATAACCGTATACAATCATAAGAACGAACAGAGTATGGATAATGTCTAGTGAAATCCCCCCGTTTAAGGGATCAATAAATCATTTGTTTCTTTTACTTTTGACGAGAAATCAAGGATCTACATCGAGTTATAATATTGTCTTGCATAAGATTTGAGGGTTTCCATAAATAAAATTAATTAGCCTTTCCGATTATTTTTAGAAAGTAAAAAAAAAAAATAAATAATAATAAATAAAATACTAATGATTGAAATAAGAAAGGTTTTTTTTCTATATATATAAAAGGTCTCCTTAAGATCTGAGAGATAAGCGGATTTACAAAATATCAACAGATATCCCATTTGATTATTTGAAGAGGGAACGTTCCCCCTTGAAATCATTTTCTAATTATAAAAATGGAATAAATCGTCGTGTCGCAGCTAACACCAAATCTATTATTGTACCAGGCAGCGCATTTCTACAATGCATATATTGATTGATTTCATGGCAATAATTGATCGTACCATACTAAATAGAGTAAGGAAGTGATTAAGTTTATTCCGTCCGAAAGAATCAATTTTTGTTTAATCCATTCAGACGATACATTCCAGAGCGGGATCATGAAGTTATAAGATCATCAGTGTAGTGCTTTTATGCTGTCGTGATGCTATATGTTATCAGTATCGGTAATATCTCATTTGATCATTGATATTAAGCATCCAATTAAAATTGGCTGTTAAATCTTAAAATTACTCCGCATAATATAACTTTTTAATCTATTAAATAAATATTTATTTATTCAAATTACCGATCTTGAAACTCGAAACTGTATTAATATTTTAGGAGCATGTCCGGCCGAAACCTGAACATAATTTTTGGTCAAACAGGTCATGCTAATACAGCGCGGAATGAAATAATAACATACAAATATTCATGCAGCAAATTTATCATGCCATTTACATGTAATACAAAATGAGACGATTTGTGCCTACTTCTTTTAAAATCCTGATGAAAATAACAATGTGATTAACGACTGAGGATAAATATGTGACTTGCTTTTTTCTTTGTAAACCTTTGTGTCGTAATAATTGGTTAAAACGTAACTCTGATATTCGTGTATGCGTCTTTGTCATATTTAAATTATGTCAATACTTACTTGTGCTTTCTTTTTTTCCCCGCTTCAATCATGCTGCGCTTCGCAGAGGGGCCTCCTACGAAGAAATGCCGAATAGAAGAGGGTACATTGTCTTTCTGTGCAACTTCCTCCTTAATTAATTGATACACTTAACTTCTATTTCATTATGTTGCCAAATTACATTCTATTCTGGCACAATAACTTAACTAACAAATGGCATTCTTTAACAAATTTTTTTGATGCATTATGATATAATGCTCATCATATAGCACTATTGTACAAAAGTTTATTTACTGTATATATAACAATCTGTGTAAGGTTGGTAAACTCCTAATTTAATAATTAGATATTTAATAATAATTTTATCTTTTTAATATTAATATACATAAATTTAGTAATGAATTTAAAATAAAAAACCATTTAAAAATTTATTTAATTTAGGAACTAATCTTATGACTTAAGTTCTAAATCTAATATTTTTAAATTTTAAAGGAAATTTCAATTTATTTTAATAATTAATTTTAATAAAAATTATTATAAAAATGTTATTTAAAAAAATTATCTTTAAAATTATTAAATTTTTTAAAATTATATATGACTAATTAGAATTTTTTTAACATTAAGTATAATGAAGTAAATTAATAAACAAAAAATTGTATTTATTTAATTAGATATAATATAGAAACCTATATATGTCCAAATTTTGAAATCCAGCCTAGCCTAAACTTTAAGCCAAGAATTAAAATGCTAGCCCAACTGCTCAAGATTAAATTTGTATATTAAAATACCAGCTCAGCTCAGACTTAATTATAATTATTGATAATGCAAAATTTAACAATTTAATTATTTTACTTTATTTAACAAATTATAAAAATAATAAAATGTATTTTTTTACAATTTTTAATAAATTTTATTTAATGAATAAAAATAAAAATTAATGAAAAGTATTATGTAAAACTAAAATGCTATTACTATTTATAAATAATATAAAATTAATATAAAATTAATTAATAACAATAAAATATTTTATTATATATTCAGTAACAACTAAAGATGGTCCCCATAATTATTTTCAAATTTCAATTGAGTTGCAACTTAATTGTGCCATAAGGAAATTTAATTGCGTTACAAATTGTAACTCAATTGCGCCATTTTTTTTAATTGCGGTGACCATCTTTAGTGACAACTAAATTTTAATTAAATAATAATTTTTGCTAAAATTATAAAAAAATCTAGGCTGATATCTTAAACTAGAATCCAGACTGGAAAATTCTAAATTATTTATTTGCCAATTTAGGCTTAACTTATTATAGGCTTCTATATAATATAATTAAAATTTTAATCAAAATATTAGTTCATTTTAAATTTTTTTTTGCAAATTATATACTACTATCTAAAGGTTAGAACTGGTTAATTTTTTAACTAGTTAAAATAGTTAAAATATTAAATGATCAAAGCTATTTTTTTAATTAATTAAAATAATTGAAAATTAACTTTAACTAAAATTCAATTCTAATCAAAATTAAGATTTCTTATGATTGCAAAAATATTATCTAATTATAGTATTAGTCTAAGTTAATTTTACAGTTATTTAACTTATTAACAAATACTTTAACAGATTATTAACTAGTTAAATATTTTTTGACTGGTTTCAATCTCTATTACCACTAGAATTTTTATAATTAGAAATATATATATATATATTTTTAATTTACTTGATTTTATAAGCATAATTTAAGAGACTATTCTATTTACTAATAATTTTAATAATTTAACTTCTTATATTATAATTAGAATTTCCTATAATTAACTATTACAGATTAATTTAATTTATATAATTTAAAGTATTTTTTTTTATTACTATTTGATTCTTTGAAATGTTAAATAACTATTTGTAAAAATAATACAAAATAATTTTAACTTGAAAAAAGTTTACTTAAATGATATACTATAATAATAAAGCTTAAAAGTTTTTATATATTTGTCTAAAATAAAATTAAAAACAATATATGTCTATATGCTATAAAAATTTTTCAGCTACGTAATTATTATATTTATTTGTCTACTCATGTGATCTTTAACTAATAAAATCTCTGATTTTAAAAAGTGTTAAGATCACTTTAAGCTTAACAATAGTTCTTATCTTCTAGTTATAAAACTTGTTTAAAAAAAAAATTTTAAAACTTGTATTTAAAAAAAGTAAAAAATATTTAAAATACTTTATATATAATATAAAAAGAATAAACTATTAAATAACATTTTATTACCCTCATTACTTTTATTAAAATATAAAATATTATATATATTATTATTATATATTAAATTTATATAATTATATTTTTTATTTATTATTAATTAACCTTTTTGTTAATCATACTTATTATAAAAATACTGATTAAATATTTAAAACTAATTAGAAAAGTCTTCTTATAAATTTTTTATATAGGTTATTATTAGGAAAATCAAATTCTAAAAAACTTTTTAACAAACTTGAGATTTTTATTGCATTTTAATTTTTGATATTATTAGATTAAAATGCATTAAGCTCTTAATTTTAGTTAAAAATTTCTCAAATCTTGATTTGTCTAGAAATTTTCTTATATTAATTTAAAATAAAAGTAATTTTTAATTTATTTATTTTT